GAACTGACTAAGGACACCCACTGCATAAGCAATATCAGGCCTGGTCATAGACAAATACAAAAGTCTCCCTACGAGTCTCTGGAACTTCTTCACATCTTTCAAAAACTCYCCCTGACTGTCTCCTAGATGATGATTAGATTCAATTGGTGAGTCAATTGGTTTTACCCCCAACTTGCCTGTATCTTCTAGTATATTTAGTACATATTTCCGTTGGGAAATAAAGATGCCCTTGTGAGAGCGGGCAACTTCAATTCCAAGGAAATAACGTAAGGGGCCTAGATCTTTCACCTCAAATTGAGTGGCTAAGATTTTTTTTTAGTCTTCGTATTTCAGCCTCCCAATCTCCTGTGATCACTATGTCATCCACATACACAATAAGAGCTGCAATTTTCCCTTCACCTCTTTTCACAAATAGAGTGTGATCTGACTGGCATTGTTTGAACTCCATCTGTTGAACTGTTAAATGGAACTTACTAAACCAAGCCCGAGGTGATTGTTTCAATCCATATAAAGATTTTTTTAACCTACACAACTTTTGTTCACTGCCTTTGGCACAGAAACCTGAAGGTTGGGTCATGTACACTTCCTCTTCCAAGTCATCATTCAAGAAAGCATTTTTTATGTCCAATTGGTGAAGTTCCCAGTCAAGATTTGCTGCTAATGAAAGAAGGATCCTGATAGAGCTCATCTTGGCTACTGGAGCAAAAGTCTCTGCATAGTCCACTCCATATACCTGTGTAAAACCTCTTGCTACCAGTCTAGCCTTGTGCCTTTCAATAGTTCCATCAGCCTTGTGTTTCACTGTGAACACCCACTGGTTCCTTCCCTTCAGGAAGGTCCACCAACTCCCAAGTGCCATTTTTGTGTAATGCATCAATTTCTTCCTGCATTGCATCTGTCCATTCAGGTTTAGATAAAGCTTCTGCCACATTCTTAGGAACGGGGACACTGTTCACAGAGGAGAGGAATGCATGGAATGAAGGTGAAACGTGATCATAGGACACAAAATTAGAGATAGGATGATTAGTGATACAAGATCTAACACCCTTTCTCTTAGCAATAGGAACATTAAGATCATTGATGACAAGTGAATCAACATTTAGAGGAACAGGCATATCAATAGGAGCAAGTGTACCTGGCTGATGAGATGGATCTGCCTCTGGTGAATCCGATGATGTTGGTTGCATAGTGTCA